TCCCTTCCCCTCCCCACAACAGACACCCTGTGAGGTGGGTGGGGCTGAGAGAACTCTGACACAAACTGCTCTTTTTTAAGGACAGCTGTGCCAGAGCTTGTGACTGACCCAAGGTCACATCAGCAGGTGCAAGTGGAGGAGTGGGGAATCAAACCCGGTTCTCCCAGATTAGAGTCCGCACACTTAACCACTACACCAAACTGGCTCTGCCATTGCCTTCCTCTGCAGAGCCTTCCTTGGTGGTCTCCCTTCCAAATACTGACCCTGCTTGGCTTCTGAAATCTGACAAGATCAGGTCATACACCGTGCCACCTTCCCTCTTTCCCTGACATTAGTTCTGGAGAAACGGATGTGCAGTTGGTTGGATCATGGTGGGGATATGTCCAGTCCAAAGAGCATTGTTTTTTTCTTCTTTTTATCTTTATTTAGGCTCTCAAGTTTAGAGAAATTAAGGGCGATGAGAGGCAGAAAGGGATAAGATAAAAGTGTCCAAGCCCTCTTCAGGCAGTGTATTAAGTGAAGTCAATACCTTTTCAGGATGGAGAATGCCCACAATCTTAGCCAGAGCAGATGGTCCTGATAGGCCCATCCACAGAAGCATCAATGACCAATAGGAGTTCCACACCTTCCTCTTACATACTGCAACATATAAGCTTACCTCAATTCTCCACCCAGGCGTTCCTCAAGCAGAGATACATTTTTCATACTAGTGGCTAACATTAAGGCATGCGACAGCTGGGTGGTTTTTAGTCTGCTTTCTGGTGCCAGATGTTAAAAGATCATGTGAAAGACAACTGGATTGTCCCCGGTTATGGGAACATTTTCTCTCACCCTGTGATGGAGGCTTTTCTATGTTGCTCTGAAAGAGCTGTTGACTGTCGTTTTCTTCTTCCAGTATGAAAACTTCAAGCTGGAAAAATGACAAGATCCTGTGGAATGAATTATGGGCCATATTACTGGTTGGGGATACATTGTAGGGTTGATTGAGTCTCGGAGCCTTCATTCCAAAGAGGAAGGAAGAACACAGTGATATCCATTTTTTCCAAGGAGGTGCTTCAAAGCTCAGGCCAGTGTGGGAGCTGCTTTGAGATAAATGGTCCATCAAATCTGTCTATATCTGGACTGGCAGCACAGCTTCTGAGTCTCTGATAGACTTCCATAACATAAATCCTGAGATCTTTAAGTGGCAAGCCAGAGACTTCATGCATTCCAAGGATATCCTTTAACACTAAGCTCTGGTTACCAAACCCCCTTGAGGAGGGCTCATACAACAATTTTGCAAAGCCTTTTAAGATAAAGAGTCCACACAACCCATTTTCTTCAACAGTTTGACTACTCTCAGCATTAGAAGACTGACAGCATTGTGGTGTCTTTCCCTGTGACCTGTCCAAGATTCAAGGATTCAGTAATGTAGTAAACTGTGGATATACTCCACAGTTACTACTCTGATCCCTGTGGTACTTCTCCTGTGGTTCATTAGCAGTCTGTTTGTTCCTTTAACCTCTTGGGTATCTGAAACACTTAGAGCACTTAGAAAAGTGTTATACATTTTTTTCTTTTTTTTACTTTGCAGCTTTTCAAATCATTTGTAAGTTGTTGGCAAAAAAGAAGAAGAGAGGAAAAGGAATTTTCGTATTTATTTATTTCATTTAGTGTTATACATTTTTTTCTTTTTTTTACTTTGCAGCTTTTCAAATCATTTGTAAGTTGTTGGCAAAAAAGAAGAAGAGAGGAAAAGGAATTTTCATATTTATTTATTTCATTTAGTGTTATACATTTTTTTCTTTTTTTTACTTTGCAGCTTTTCAAATCATTTGTAAGTTGTTGGCAAAAAAAGAAGAAGAGAGGAAAAGGAATTTTCGTATTTATTTCTTTCATTTATAGCCCACCTGGCCATCAAGGCACTGAGAATAGGGATGAACCAGTCTGTCAGTTTGAAGCTCTTTTAGAATTAAATCCAGAGTCCACATTTCCCTCTCATGATTTCTTTTCTTTTCTTTTTTAATTCCAAGATTGATTGTATTTTTTTCCAGTTGTTGTTTATAACTCTATTACATCCAATCACATGAACACATGAAGCTGCCTTATACTAAATCAGACTCTTGGTCCATTGAAGTCAGTATTGTCTACTCAGATTTGCACTGGCTCTCTGGGGTCTCAGGCAGAGGTCTTGCACATCACCTCCTTCCTGACCTTTCTAACTGGAGATACTGGGGATTGAACCTGGGACCTTCTGCATGTCAAGCAGATTGCCACTGAGCCACTGCTGTTCCCCTTCCAACTCCAAAATGCTGTTTTTGCCCTATAAAGCCCTATATGGTCTGGAACAGAGGTACCCAAACACCCACTGAAGTTTTCACTGAAGGACCTCTTCTGTGTGCCCTTATATACTGAAACTAGGTGGTTATGCACAAGAGGCAGGGCCTTTTTGGGATTGGCACCCACACTTTGGGATTTCCTTTCCACAGAAGCTTGCCAGGTGGCAAATTTATGTTGCTTCAAGCACCAGGCATCTTTTCCTTTTCTCAAGATTTTTTATACCCCATATAGTTGATGTTGTGGTAGGAATTAAGTTTGACTCTGGCCAGTGGGAAAGACTCAGACAAGACTGTTCAGAAAGAAGCAACTGGTTTATTCCACTGCAGCAGAAGGTTCCCCCAGCTCTCCATCTGAAGGACCCAAGACATAGTTTTCGGTCACCTTATATACACTCCCAATGATCATGCCTCAGCAATGTTAGGCTTCTTTGTTCTGTTTATCTACCACCAGTAATTTCCAGTTCACTCATC